GTTTCTCTGTGGCTGCACCACAGAGATGAACAGAGAAATGGGGCCTCATTTGGGAAGGCTCAGAACACTTAATTCTGCCTTATATTTAAGCCTCACCGCTACACTGGTGACATAGTCATGGGTAAATAAGGAGTAGAGGACAGGGCTTAGCACACTGCCTTGGGGGGCTCCAGTGTTTAGAGTCAGGGTAGAGGATATGTTGGTGTCCACCCTCGCCACCTGCAGACGTTCTGTCAAGTAATCCAGGATCCAATTGCAGAGGGAGGTGTTCAATCCCAGGTCCTGGAGCTTGATGACAAACTTTGAAGGCACTATGGTATTGAATGCTGAGCTGTAATCAACAAACAGCATTCTCACATATGTTCCTTTCTTATCCAGGTGTGAAAGGGCAGTATGGAGGGCAGTGGTAATAGCATCTTCTGTTGATCTGTTCTGGCGATACGCAAATTGCAGTGGGTCTAGGATGTCAGGCAGTGAGGAGGTGATGTATGCTTTGACCAGCCTCTCCAAGCACTTCATGATAACTGATATGAGTGCAACAGGGCTGTAGTCATTCAGGCAGCTGACTCTGGGTTTCTTAGGAACAGGGACAAAGGTGGTTTTCTTAAAACAAGAAGGAACTATAGACTGAGCTAGAGAGAGATTGAATATGTCCGAGAAGACATCTGCCAGCTGGTCTGTACATGCCTTCAGAACGTGGCCGGGGATGGCATCAGAGCCAGGGGTCTTGCGTGGATTTGTCTTTTTAAAAACTTTACACACATCCGCTCCGGTTATGATCAGTGGGTTTCCGTCTTGGATTTCTGGAATCTTCCTGACTGGATCTGCGTTGCTGACCTCAAACCGAGCATAGAATGAATTTAGCTCATCAGGAAGAGAGGCAGACTGTTGTGCGATATAGCTGGGTTGCGTTTTGTAGTCTGTAATGGTGCGTATACCACTCCACATGGTCCGTGTATTGCAGCCATGATAATATGACTCTAATTTAACTCTGTAGATGTATTTAGCTATTTTGATAGCTTCCTGAGGTCGTATCTGGATTTTTTGTATTGATCCATATCGCCAGAATTGAAAGCAGCTGTCCTAGCTTTTAGTTTG